AGGCCATAAAGCTATGGCTGGAAATTCCATTTTTCTCCAAATGGTACTGGGTCTTGTGGTGGGTCTCCAGGTAACATCATCAAGGCTGAAGAATATTTATTCCTTTTTTAAAAATTTTTTTTTTCAACGTTTATTTATTTTTGGGACAGAGACAGACAGAGCATGAACGGGGGAGGGGCAGAGAGAGAGGGAGACACAGAATCGGAAACAGGCTCCAGGCTCTGAGCCATCAGCCCAGAGCCCGACGCGGGGCTCGAACTCACGGACCGCGAGATCGTGACCTGGTTGAAGTCGGACACTCAACCGACTGCGCCACCCAGGCGCCCCTGTTTATTCCTTTTTAAAGAGACAACTGTTGGGGCACCTGGGTGGCTCAGTCGGTTGAACGACCGACTTTGGCTCAGGTCATGATCTCACAGTCCGTGGGTTCAAGCCCCGCGTTGGGCTCTGTGCTGACAGTTCAGAACCTGGAGCCTGCTTTGGATTCTGTGTCTCCCTCCCTCTCTGCGCCTCCCTTGCTTGCTCTCTGTCTCTGTCTCTCAAATATAATAAATATTAAAAAAAAAATTTAAAGGGACAACTGTTTGGACTTGGAGGAAAAGAATCAACAAATGTAAATAATGGGTTTTTTTTTTCCCTAAAAATGTGTTTTCACATTGCTAAGTGAATGTCATGGAATGTTTCTTTTGCTCGTACTTATCAATTATCACCAGCAGTGAACAGTAAAATATGTGGTTGGCAAATACACCCTATGTGTGCACTTTTTCTTCCCGAGCCCATAGGAGACAGTGCTAACCAGTCTCAGTAGCCTTTCTGGATAAGCTCAAGCTGAACCTTGGAGTCCTTCTCAACACGGTGTTCTAGGGAGCCGCTGACAGTTGGTCAGATTCGTCGTGCAAGACGAACCTGTTGTTATCCCAGCAGAGCCTTGAAACTTAAGAAAGACAAAACCCAAGACCTTTAAACATCCCACCTCCGTGAATATTTCTTATAAAGTATTTTCACATGTAAATGAAATATGCAACTGATTCTTCCAAATCTGCATTGATAAAACTCCTTCTAGGGCCATCTTCTCCCAAGTCCATCGCTTCTTCAGAGTTAGTTTAAACTCGGTGAGAAATAATCAGACAGCAGTAAGGCTACACTGAATCCCGCCGCTGGACAGTCTTCTCCTCAGCGGAGGGAGCTGCTTTTCACAGCTGCTTTCTAACCCATGATGTGACCAAGCTGTAAATTATGCTGAAAGCAGAGGTTTTGGAGACCAGCAACCCCAAACTGGAGGCCTGGCTGCACCATTCGTTAGTTGTGCGATGCAAACATGTTCCTGAATCTCTGAGCCTCAGATCCTCATCCGAAAAAGGACAATGAGAACCGTGCCTCAAGTATGGGGTTGTTACTAGAATCAGTGAGTGCTCTCGAAAGATCTGGTACACAATTATCCACTAAGTGAGAGTGGCACTACTTTTTATTACCTAATAACCGTATGTTACATAATAATAACAGTAAGGGAGGGGCGGTCTTAGGTCATGATTACTTGGGTCATGGTTAAGAACATGGACTCTGGGTCCAGTTTGGCTGAATTCCTGCTGGGTCACCTCTCTGTGCCTCAGTTCCTCTTCTCTAAAACACAGCTCTGACGGCACCTCCCTCGCCAGGAGTTGTAGGCATCAGACGAGTCCTTTTAAGTATGTCAGGTGGTTCCTGGCCCACCGTGAGCACCATGGAACTGTGGTTGCATTCCTAAATCCTCACCATCATGTGCGAATACTTAAAGCTGCCGATGGAAATACACGAATGCCAAGCATCTACTACATGGAGAATGTGTTTACAGAGTAGAAAAGATTTATGTGTCTTCAAAGGCTAAAGATGCTCATATTTAGCCCTGACCAAGTGGCAGTCCTAGTGAAACCCAATCCATTAGGTTACCCTTCATTAAGGTCCAACACACCTGTTCTCTAAGGGGCACCTGCTCAGTCCTCACTACCGCGCCCACGGAAAGTCCAGCCACTTCTGGCTGTTCCTGAAGCCTCCAGACTTCACTTAACTGCTGCCTGCACAGCACAGAACCCAGAATCGGGGCTTTCTACCAGGCCATCCCCAGATCCTGCATATGGGAAGTCATGGGAAGCTAGGCTTAAAAATGCTTTATGATGACATGATACAGGAATCTGTTTGGTCAAACTGCCATTTATCATTCAACTCCATTAATCACTAAAAATAACAAATAATACTTTACTCAAGGGGCAAAAAGATTACTTAGGAAAAGCTACTGTACATATAGAAATTGTTTTCTAGAACATTGGGGTCCATTTGAAGAAAACACTTTTTTCTTAAGTTTATTTATTTATTTTTGAGAGAGAGAGAGCAGGGGTGGGGCAGAGAGAGGGAGATAGAATCCCAGTCAGGCTCCACACTGTCAGCACAGAGCCCAATGTGGGGCTCGAACTCACAGAACTGTAAGATCATGACCTGAGCAAAAATCAAGAGTCAGATGTTTAACCAACTGAGCCACCCAGGCACCCCAAGGAGAATACCTTTAAGTTGCATTCCTTGTAACTCATTTTATTCTTGGTATATGATTATCCTGGGACACAACTAAAAATTAAATAAAGTTAAACTTTAAATAAAGTTAGATGTAGCAGTCCCTTGTAGGACTCTTGAATAGGGAATTACAGTTATTTCTATCTGTAAAAAAAAAAAAAATCCATCATTTTTCTCCATGAGAGCAAATAATGCCGTGTACATTTCTGAGCACGTCTTTTCTAAAACACAGTTATTTTGTCAATGGTGAAGAAATTTATATAGTTCAGGATGCTTAAGACTATGTCCCAAAATCTGTGCTCCTGACACTGTCACTTAGAGAAAAACATCATCTCTCAGAGACGCCTTCCCCTCTTCATTTACATCCTCTTCTTTATCAACGTATGAAGAATGATCTGTACAATGAAAATGACATTGAATTCCCATGAAAAATGTTCAGGTAACTCTTTGCTATAGTCCTAGGAATGCATTTTTAGGTTAGAAACATAAGCTGGTTTTTTCCTTAGGGAGTCTCCTGTGACTGCTGTAACAAATTACCACAAATTTAGTGGCTTTCAAATGACACAAATGTATTATCTTCACAGGTCTGGAGGTCTACAGTGGTCCCTGGGCTAAAATCAGAGTGTCCTCAGGGCCATATTCCCTCTGGAGGCTCCAGCTCCTGGAGTCTACCCACATTCCTTGACTTGAGGTTGCTGTCCATCCTCAAAGCCAGCAGTGGCCGGTCAAGTCTTTCTCCTTCTGTATCACTGAGACACTATTCTGCCTCCCTCTTCCACATTGAAGGACTCTTTGATGACATGACACCCATCCACTTTATCCAGGACAATCTCTTTATTTTCAGGTCGGCTGATTAGAAATCTCAATGTCTTCTGCAACTTTTATTCCCCTTGCCATGTAACATAACATATTCATAGGTTCCTGCTTGCAACATGGACACCCTTGGGAGGGGGGCATTATTCTGCCTGTCACCGGGAGAAAAGTAGGATTCGGCACTCACCTTGTCCATTAGGCATCCTTAGTCAAGTCGTCCAACGCTGAGTGGAGATTTCTGGTCATTGCCCTGCTCGTCTGCTGGTGGAAGACACTTTATGCTTTGTCTTCTTGTGTTTGCTCAGCCTCCTCATTCCCAGTGAGGGTGACGATACAGATTGCCCATGGGCAAAACAGGATGAGCTAAAATTTTACTGTGATTTGTTTCTAACGATGGTTGTACCATTTCTTCTTCTAGGAAGAAAAAATGAAAATGCCTGTAAAGGAGCTCCTAAAACCTGTTCTCTACTCGATAAATTCCCCGAGACAACGGGATGCCGAAGAGGACAGGTAGTACCTAGGGTGTCTTTGGTGACCCGAAGAACACAGTTATTAGGAATAAAGGAATGCTAATGTTTATAAAGCGCCAGTTATTGCTTTGGGCCAAACAGAGGCCTCTTTTTTTCTTCTCTCTTTAACAAAACGCCATTCCGTGTGGTCGATGGCAGAGCTGAGGGTGGAAGATGTTCAGTGTTTATCGCTTCGTGGAAAATGAGAGTCCTTATCTTCAGTTCCTTCACAAAGAAACTAGACGAGAATATACATTCTCAGTCTTCCCAAGTAATTCCTTCTTGGAAGAAGTAATTACTTTCCCAAGTGATTTTCTGCGGTCACTTTAATGTAGCATTTCCTCCACGCCTCGATGCATGGATGACCGGTGTGTTACTTTTTCTGCGCAGATCAAGTATTCCGTCATGCACCCGGGAACCCACGTGTGGCCGCACACGGGCCCCACCAACTGCCGGCTCCGGATGCACCTGGGCTTGGTGATCCCCAAGGAAGGCTGCAAGATCCGATGTGCCAACGAGAGCAAGTATGTTTCCCGCCATCGTTTCGTCTCGTATCACCTCTGAAGAGGGGTGTTCCTTACAACCGGTCTGTGTTCAGTTGGGTTATTTCTCTTCCTTTGTAACTGAAGTAGGCTGGAGTGGGTGATACTAATCCACACTCTAGTCTGTGTCCCTTCCTTGTGCTTTCCGTGAGTCTGGAGAGACTCCTCGGGTCTAGGGCCGCCCTCCCTAATCATTTCTCCCCACACCATTGTCATCTCAGTGAAGAGCCTTCTCGCTTCTCTTTCTAGATGGACAGACTTGCACTCAGGACCAACCGTCTTGTGCTGAGCCCTATACAGATTACACATTGTGTTTATTGCTCTACAACTTGAATTATTCATCGATGCAGAGGGTCCCCCTTCCTGAAGAAAATGCCCAGTGATACTTACGTGTGTTGCTCTAGGGGAGGCAGCATGGGGCAACAGAAACAGGCTGTGTGTTTCAAATCCCAGGCTGCCTTTTTCAAACCCCAGCTCTGCCACCTAATCCTGTGTAACCTGGGCCCATTCCTTAATCCCTTCGAACCTCAGCCTCCTCACTTACGAAATTGGCAATGATGCTGTCTGCTCTGCGGGATTATTGTAGGATCAAGTGAAATAACACATACAGGGCACTGAGCCCACGTCCTAACATGAGTGGGATGTGGTGAATGTTAGGCCCTTCTGCCCGTGCCTTTTGCTGTCCTAATCCTATTGCTCCGGCCACCGAGAATGCCCTTTTTTACACTCATCCAAAATAAGCCTATTGCTAAGATCCAATGTCGTGTCATACAAAGGAGCCTCTCTTCTGACTTCTGAGTGCGTGTATAGTATAGATTCTCAGTAATCCTGTTCTGTATCTCCCATTGCTTTTTATCAGTCGGCGTATGTTAGCCTAATCTCTGGGAGCTAGAAGCTCCTGGAGGGCAGAAACCAGGTTGCTATCTTCTTAGTCATTTCTCAGGGTCCTCAGTAGAGGTCCGATGGGGCGGGGAGGTACCTCCTCTTCGGGAGGTAGTTTGAGTTGTTCGTTTGGTCGTTGGCAGAGACCTGCCTGTCCTGCACGTGGCATAGCGACACAGAGTGCTGTGGGAGGTTCAGATAGGGCTTTCCTCTGCCAGACGTGCTTCATCAGGGACATAGCACAGGCTCAAATGTCAGAGTCATAAGAGCAGTACAGATAAAAGTGCTACAGATGGGACAATGGGCAGCTAGCTCATTTGCTGCTGGGGTTTGGAGAATCTTGACAGTGGTGACTCTTAAAGACAGAAAGCGTTTGGACATTGAAAGCTGGGGGAGGGGGAAGGCATTTCAGGCTGAAAGAATAGGATCTGCGAAGGCACAGAAGCCAAAAATGAGAGAGGGCACATAGGGAGAATATGGAGTGATGTCAGCAACCACGAGTGTATACAACAGTATAGGTAAACTGATGCACATTAAAATTTTCGAGAGTTCATTTGGGCATACATCGATTCACATTGCATAGTGTCAAAGCAAAGGTGGGTAGGAGTGCCCCAGGGCAGGAGCCGGAGGGCAGGGTTTCCAGAGAGAAGATGCTGAAGCCAAGCAAAGGAAGTACTTGACTAGATACCGCGTAAGCAGTTGGCCCTGCTTCGGAAAACCCGGTTGGCTGTTTGTGATCAGTTGCTCTTCTGCTTCACTTTCTCAGATTCAGGTGCATTGACTCTGGCTTAGACTTCAGTTTGCTTACGTAGGCTGCCAAGGCGTGGAAGCCACCCTCGTCTAACGGCCTTCTTGGCTAAAAATTTTAACAGCGCATATAGAATACGGTTGGAAAATGAAAGCAGAATAGAAGCCCAATTATAGAAGGCTTTGATCAGTATTTGATAGTGGGATCAGACTCTTGTCAGGAAGTTACTCTGGAAGCCATGGCGGGGAGGATGCGGGAAGGCAGGAAGAACAGTTAGCACCCTGTCATGGTGGCCCACCCAAGAAGAGCTGGACTCGGGATGCTGGAAGCAAAGGGAGAGTAATGGGCAGGTACAGGAGATCTTATGCGCGTTGACTCAAGCGTGTGGTGTAAGGGAGGGAGAGTCCAGGATGCCTCGGCCTGTGTCCATTTGGGTCAGTAGGAGACTGTTGATGCTTTAGCGAATACTGAGAACTTGGGAGGTGTGAGGCAAGTTCAGGGAAATGGGTAATGAGTTCAGTGTTTATATATATTTTACTTAAGTTGCTACTGGAAGACAGTAATGGAAACATCCAGGAGTCAGCTGGATAGAGACGCCTGGAGCTCGGGAGAGAAGCCATGTCTGGCCATAAAGGTTGGAGAGGCAGACTTAGCAGGTTCTGGAGGAAACTTGAGACTCCATGAACCCATCCACATTTAGAAGACCGAAGGAGGAAAGAGAACCACCAGGGAGGTGGGGCGGCCAAGGGCAGAGGTGGGAAGAACCAGGACGAGAATCAGAGACAGCTGGACAGAACGAAGTTTCTCCCAAGATGAAATGGACCTTGTCAAGCCTTTGGGGACTCTGTGTACACAAGCAAGCTCTCCACCAAAGGGAAACAGGGTGAGGACGTGATGGGGGACCCAGGGAAATGGAGAGAATGCCGGGGAACGAGACCAAATAACCGTGGGCAGTGAAGACGGGGAAGAGCACCAGGCCCGTTTCCTGAGTACTGCCTGTGGTTAGAAGTTTGTCATTTGTTATTCCTGTCTCTGGATCTACTTCCCTCCCTCCATCCTGCCTTCTGTTTATTTTTTAAATTTTCTGGTCTGTCCTGCTTATAGATACTCTGGGGGAAAAAATCACTAAACAAAAGTCCACTTATGAACCAGTAGGGAGAGAGACACGTATGAACTGATCCTTGTCATCCGAGGCCTGAGGCAGCAAGAAGCCCAGCTGGAAAGAGTGAGGCAGTGAGGAAGGGGAGCAGGTAGAGAGTGCCGGAAGCTTGAACAAGAAGCCCAGCAGGGCTCAAACTGCAGCAGCGGCACTGGGAGAGCCGCCCCAGCGGCACAACCACAGTGCGTTCCCCACGCCAGGCTCCCAGCAAACGCCTGATGACCGTGCTTGACAAAGAAAGGGACTGCCAGGCCCTCCCCTCAAGCTGAAAGCATGATTAGGTTAATGGTCTTCACCTACAGGAAGTAGCGTCCCTCCTGCACCAGCCTCGGTAAGCTTGAGTAAGAACGCTAACTTGGCCGCCCCTCAATTTCCACGGACTGTAAGTACCTGTTGAAAACAGTAATTTGCAGATGGTGTATTTTGCAGCGATTAGTAAAAAGTGCTTTCCTTGGGGCGCCTGGGTGGCTCAGTCAGTTTCGCGTCCGACTCTTGATTTCAGCTCAGGTCATGATCTCACGGTTTGTGACTTCAAGCTGCACATCGGGATCTGCGCTGTCAGCATGGAACCTGCTTGGGAATCTCGCTCTCTCTCTCGCTCTCTCACTCTCAAAATAATAAATAAACTTAAAAATAAAATTTAAGAGTGCTCCCCACCCACCTACCTGTTGTTGGGTCAGGGAGGCGATTTTGCAGAGGATGAAGTGCTTCCTGTCTCTCCTCCCTGAAGAGCCTACAGCATCGATGCCTTTCCACCTCCTCATGATGGCTGGTCAACAGCCTTGTCTGCGCCCCTTGTCTTCAGTTTTATGTTGTGTTACATTCTCATCCTCAGTAAGCCTTCACTCAAGAGCGGTTGGGTCAGGCCAAGTACTTCGGTACAAAACTCATGTTTTTCATAAGGGAAATGGCGCCATTTAAGTACTGTGTGATGCCTATAGGGAAAACAGCTGGGTATCTGGATGGGAGACAGGCAGTTTCTAGACTCTGAAGACAGAAATACTGAAATATGAAACCTGGAAGTGTCATGCTGTTAGTGTAGAAATACTATTAGTGTGGAAAGAGAAACACACGTAGACCAAGAAATCAGGCTCCTTTGCGCTAGGCAACAGGAAGCAATTTTCAGAGCCTCTCGACTCCCAAAAGAGGAGGTTACTCGTAGCAATTCGTGCATCGTAGCTCTCAGGTGTGAATAATCACACTGCTGTGCCTCCAGCACCGTGTGAGTCCTGCTAGCACGCGTCTTGTTTAAATATTCCGTCACTGCAGACGAACAGCCGCGCTCTTTTTATCTGACGATGAGCTCGCAGCTACATGGCCTTTTATTGTTACAAATAAAAATGATCACTTAACATTAATAAGTGCCCTGTGACTGTAAAACTGATATGTGATGCACATTCCTTGTACGTAATTTGTAAAACACAGAGAAGCACAATAGAAAAAAGTCAATATTATGTTTGATCTTGATACCCCAAGATACTGTCCAGATGCTTCTCCATACCGCATGTTTGTGTCCATGAGGTGGAGGAAGAGGAACACAGTAATGATCGAGAGCGTGCTTGCTGTACGAAGTAGTTCTTAGCATGCCACAGGCGCTATATTATTAACTAATCCTCACAACAATCCTAAGGGATTATTGAAATCTCTTTTGTAACTGGGGAGACTGAGGTATAAAGATGCCAAGTAACTTCCACAAGGTCACTCAGCTCAGTAAACGCTGATGTTTGTGTCAGCTTCCTGAGGCTGCCGTGACAAATTACCACAAACCGGATGACTTTAAACAACAGAAAATTCATTGTCTCGTAGCTCTGGAGTCCAGAAGTCCAAAGTCAGGTGTCAGGAGGGTTGGCTTCTTCTAAAGGCTCTGAGGGAGAGTCCGTGCCCTGCCTTTCTCCTGGCTTGTGGTAGCTGCTGGCATTCCTTGGTATCTCTCGGCTTGTAGACACATGGCTCCAATCTCTCCCTCTGCCAACACAACACCACCTTCCCCCTATATCTTCTCCCCTTCTCTTTATAAACACACTTACTATTGGATTTAGGGCCCAGCCTAATCCAGGAGGGTCTTATCTCAAGATCTTCCACTTCATTACAACCGTAAAGACTCTTTTTCCAAATAAGCTTACATTCACAGGTTCCAGGTGGACATACTTTTTTGGGGAGGCCACCATTCAACCCGCTACAATATCAGAACGA